GCACTACAAGGATAAAACTCCTCCCTCACCATCCCGTCTTCAGCGGTTTCGATACAATATTTATTTCATTCACCCACCCCCACCCCCGGTTGTGAATATTTTGTGCTCTCGATTCATGGGCTCCATACATGTACGTACCTACCAGCTATCACTCTACTTACCGAATCCCCTGTTATATCAAGCGCCACCCATTCTTCCCCGTCGGGACCAAATCTCGGAGCACTGTAAGCAGGCTTGTGGTGGTGCCAGTTGGGAAGAATAGGTAGCGCTTGACACAACCAAAAAAAGAAAGAAAGAAAAGAAAAGAAAAATCAGGTAAGTACACCGAACTACATACACCACAGCAAAGGGCAGAACCAGAACCCCGGCCCCGAAAAATATGAGACTTCTCCACTAGTCTTCATACGGCCACCAATTGGGTTTATCCCTCTCTAGGTAAGATTTTCGGGGGTTTTGGTTCAGCAACATAACTACTATCACTCGAAGAAGTCACTCGTGCGGGTACTGGCAACCCTAACCCTGTGGTGTCCACCGTTCTCTTGGTAGGTTCGCTCGAAGCTTATGCTAGAGAACCTAAAGTATTATTATACCGTAGGACTATCTGTCAGGGTATAAGAGTCTCAGTACCAAGAGACATTGAGATTAATCTGCCGCACACTATCACAATGTACTCAACCGGGACTACTTCTCAATCTGCTATTTACAACCGGAGACTCTGTCCTTTTTCACTGGAGAACCAACCGGAAAAAAGAAAAAAATTAGCACCAGAGAGACTCTGCAACGAAAACCATTCTAAAGGCGCCATACTTTGATCTCAAAAAAGGCAGGGAAACGAAAAAAAAAACAAAAAAAACAAGCAAATTGGGTAAAATACTGCACGTCCCAGCAAGTGAGTTGAGTAGGTAAGCGAGTGACCACTCGTGACGCAGCGCCTAAACCACTTGGCCCTGGCAACGAGAAGGGTGGGGCTCTCTGTGAAGAGAGAAAAACCAAACGACACGCCTTGTAAGCTTCGTAGAGAGGAGCTCAATCGCCGCTCAATCGCCGCTCAACTTGATGATTCTTTTTTTCCCTGGGTGATTCTTTCGTCCAAGCGGGGGTCTTGGGCTGGTCTTATGGGGAGGGGTGCGTGTAGGTACTGTCTCATGCAAAAGAGCTATTCGAGGCGGGATTTGCTGGACCGGACATCACTGGCTCGACATTGGCCCGTGATACTATCACGAGCACCGCGATCGCTCTCCAAATCTCAGGGACATCATTTCTTAAGGTAGGTTAGTGTCAATTATGGCTTCCATTTAAGGGGCTCACCCATGCTCGCCTACCAGCATAAGAAGAACCAGAAGATGCGGTTGCTAAAAGTCGAGGATTATTTGTGCGACCCTCCATATAAATAATCCTTGGCTGCTTGTCACTCAGTTTTCTTGTTCTTATGCTGGTATGCGAGTATCACAGCCCGGAAAATCATTCTGGTTCGGAATAGGCAGTGTCCAGGTAGGTACCAAATTACAGGATTATCGTGCCAGAGATAAACCTGGCCAGTACTCTACAGAGCTAGTGGTTCTACCATCGGAAGAACTCCCGTGAGATGATACAAACCCGAGAAGAGATGATGAGAAACTTTCCGACATAACCAAGCCTTTCACTGGGATCTGGAGACCCCGAATCGGGTAAGAACTTCTACCCTCCTATGAAGAAAGAGTAAGGCTCCTAGGGCTTAAAGATATTGTCCCCTACCAAATACTACCGAACTTTGGTAGAAAATTTGATGGAGGTTTTATGCCAAGGTTGAAACTCGGAATACATACGGTAGGCGGAGACCCAGATCATAGCTGGTCACTCGATTATCTCAAAACTGCTCAAGACTGATTGATAGAGACGAGTCGTTCGGGTCAGTGTTACAGAGGTTTCGCAACTCAAATGCTTACTACAAGCTGTTTCTACTCGCCTACCAGCATAAGAACCAGATAACGTGGTTACTAAAAGTCGAGGATTATTTGGACGGGAAGAACTGCGCCACTCGATAAGGATAATCCTTGGCTGCTTGTCAATCGTATTTTCTAGTTCTTATACTGGTAGGCGAGTAGAGTGTTTATTGACGCTACCAAAGGTTTTGCAGGTTTATCTGTAGGTATGGCTCGGGACTTGATAGTGGGTAGGTATGTATCCTGTGTTGTAAGGAATTCTTACTGGTTAGAATACGTTAAGGTAGGTCGAAAGCCTAGTTTCCAGAGCAGAATTGGTACGTTTTATTTTTCTTCGCCACAAAATACACACCCGCCCAATATCGAGTCTCGAGCCATACTCTGTATGGATACATGATGCCTCTTTCGTTCCCAAAAGGCGAGGGTTGTGTCCATATTTGGGGTGGTCTGTGGAGCACGGGCATGAACCATCAAAAACACTGTTCACACGGATTGAGTGCGGATTAATTCTTCGCCGGCTTCGTGCAGCACCAAAAGGCCATATGGTGTCTCGTGCTATCTTGGCTGCTTATTCTAGCATATCTCCACTTACACTTTTTATTGGACGAAATAGGTGAGCTTAAACGTTCCAACGGAACACTTGAGATGTCCTACCATCAACTATCTACTTTTTGGTGAGGTTACGTTTTCGTGGACCCATAAACCACATATATAAGCTCTTATTAATGCTCTGCGGGCCGGTAATAAACTTGCTACATTCCTCTCTCCAAAGGACAACGCAAAGTCGGACACGATCACTGCCGGGGCCGAGGCTGGGCGAGAGAATTCTCATAGTGGCCATCGAAGCACTTTCCATACGCCGCCGCCACTGCTGTTAGTGGTAGGGCTCTGAGCCACGTTTTTCTTATTTTCCCCTCACAGAATCCAAAGGTGGCACGATCCAGAGCATGGCAACTTCAGTGGTGGAGAACACCGGAGTTAGGCTTCCCCCGCCAGTATAGAAAAGCTCGGACCTCCATACGGACCCAACTGACTGTTAGTGGCTTCACCGGCGAAATGGATGCTGGTAAGGAGATAGACATCCCATGCATTAGTGCACGCAACATAAGGGGGGTGGTTGGAGTCACAGCGTATCACTCGCGCCCCCCGTTTACCAACAGCCCATCCTTTATATAGGTGGGGTGAAATACTTGTAGTGGGGGGCATACGTACGCAAGTGGGGAAAAGTGAGAAGTGGAGTGGGGAGTGCATGCATATATTCTTGTCCCCTGAGATTGGCGCCGCTGGATCGTGGGATATCCTTCTGCCCAGGAGCTTGGCATGATGGGAGCGGAGACTTCCATTGACTGGGCGTGGCTAGTAGGAGTTCTCCGCACGAGTGAATACCGATTTGTAGAGAGGGTCGATTTGGCCCAATGATCTATTGAGAAGGTTGGCGTCTTCGGTCTAACAAAGATATCACTGGCCAATGGGATATTCAGCTTTTTAGTAGGATATACTAAGGCATTCAGTAAAAGGTCGTGAAAACAGGGGTTGCAACGGGGTGATTTTTCACGGCCTTTTACTGGACGCCTACAGGTAGGAGGACCTGTACCAATTCTCGGTATGGAACTCGGGGAAAACATAAAGTACCCAGCGTGTATATCTACACCGTCACTCTTGAAAGCTCGACGAAAAAATCAATCCTCTGGCGTTCCAGCGACACTAAAGTGGACTCTTGGATTAATAGCGCCCCCTATAACACAAGATTTTTGTGATAACGCACTAGCAAAGACCCGCTGGTGCGGAACAGCTGTGGAGGGAGCTTGGACCCTATGAGCTAGTCGAACTACACGTAGGCCTAGCTTCACAAGCAGAATAAATCGGACGAGTCATGGGTGAAACTCATCTTGATTTTATCCAGTCAACTGAGCCCTCTACGTACAGCCAGCCAGTCGGAATGTGATATTTGCATTTGTAATATTGGAACCCCTTGCTAATGTTCCTGGCACATCCGGGAGACGTGGAGTGGAGTGGGATTAACGTTTAAGCTTAAGTTTAATAGGAAACGGGTTTAGTGTGACTGAACCCCCCTTGAGCCCTGAGCCAGACTATCACTATCACGCAAGCCAAGTAGCGTTTTTGTTTCCAAAGACGGGGAACAAATATCAACTATGAAGCTCAAGAAATTCGGAACAATTGTAGTCCGCTTTGCGGCACGATGTCATATTTCAACTAGATACGTCGTAAACCTTTTTTTTTGACTCACACTCAAAATTCAAGTTCTCATCGTCATTGATTTTGGAGGTTTAAGCAGGGTTAGGTTTTCTGAAAGCCCCAAAGATAACAAAACCCCATTCTTGACCAACCAACAAACACGATGGCGCATTTTATCCTTTTGCCCGAGAGTCGGTACACCTTTTCTTCGAAAAGAAAAGATCTCTAAGAAAGCCATGGGGCTTATAAAGCATTTTGTTCATGAACCTCGGTCAAGAACCATAAACCCCCCCTCGGTGAAGCAGCCGGTGGTGTCACAAGTAGTTCACATACAACCACTTGTAACCACACAACAACCCGGGGTTCTACCCGCATGACGGTTACTCACGTATCTAACGACTGTCGATCTCGAGAATACATCTTTCCCTGTTTCGCTAGATAACTACTGGATAACAGCGCTATCGCCTCCCTTCTTGATAAAAAAAAAACACACGGGAAATGATCCTTGTTTTACCCCAGATATCCAACAAGCTCTGATATGTGGGGTACTTCTGGGGTACTTTAGTTTAGTAGGAAGATACCGAAGCACAGCTTGTAAAGTAGAGGTAGAGTGGGTCTTGAGAAGTCGGGGAAGCCGAACCCCGCAATCGCTTATTTCCCCAGGTTTTTTTTGGCCTTGTGAGAGAGAGCTCAGCGGCCGGCTCCTTATCGCTGGACAGCTACATGGAATTATATTGCCTTCAAAAAAGCTTGGCTGGTTGAATATATATCTTTCTCAACTGCCCTGTTTTTTTCACAGAAGACAAGCAGCAGCGGCAGCAGCATTTCAATACTGTTCTGTCTATCTTGCCTCTTTTCTCTTTCTTTTTTAAATATCATATCATGTTTTCTAAGAAGGAAAACGCTCAGGTTCGTCCGGCACTGCCTGACGATGGGCACCTTACCCGGGCTTCCTTTGCCCATTTGGACGAGAAGGCCATTCTACGGAAGATGGATTTGAGGTTGATTCCCATGCTGGCATTGCTATATCTCCTCTCCTTTTTGGATAGAGGTAATATCGGTAATGCGAGGATTGAGGGGTTGGTGGATGACCTAGGAATGACTGGACCAGAGTACAACTGGACTTGTTAGTAAACTTTATAATTTCATTATTGTTTGGGATCTAGTGGCTAACCAGTGAACAACTTGACAATAGTGACAATCTTCTTCTTCTCATACTGCTTTTTCGAGGTCCCGTCGAATCTTGTGTTGAAGAAATTGAGGCCAAGTGTCTGGTTGCCCTGCATCATGGTGGCCTGGGGTCTCGTTATGACGCTCATGGGCATTGTCAAGAACTACAAGGGTCTTTTAATTGCTAGATTCTTCTTGGGCGTTGCGGAAGCTGGGTTGTTTCCCGGTGTAGCTTATGTATGGGTTTCCCCTATTTGGCCAATTGGGCTGAGTGCTGATAGATGGATCTAGTACATTACTATGTGGTATTGTCGACATGAAGCACAGTGGAGGCAGGCTCTGTTCTTCAGTGCTGCCAGCGTTGCCGGTGCATTTTCGGGGCTTTTGGCATTCGGAATTGCAAAGATGGATGGTGTTGGAGGTCTCGAGGGCTGGAGGTGGATGTAAGCATTTGAAACCTAACCATCATTGAGGATTGTCCACGTACTTACTGTGCTCCTAGCTTCATCCTCGAAGGGCTTCTCACAGTTGTCGTCGCATTCGCAGCCTTCTACTTCCTTTACGATTTCCCAGAAACCGCTTCATTCTTGACGGAGGAGGAGAGGAAGTTCGTTGTTTGGCGTCTACGGTACCAAGGCTCCGTTGATGTGAGGGAATCAGCAGCTGTCGTCACAGACGAGAAGGTTGAAACAGCAATGGTTGAGGATATCCGCTCAAACACGAAGAATGCGCCTGCTGTTGCAGAGGTAGAGGAGTTTGAATGGAAGTATGTCCTGGACGCTTTCAGCGATTGGCAGATTTGGGTCAACATTTTTGTAAGAGCTCCGAGTCCATCAGGTCCGTATGTGTTCGGGAACTAATTATGTGTGTAATTCAAGGTTTATTGGGGAATTGTTTGTCCTCTGTACGGTATCAGCTTGTTTCTTCCCAGCATCATCAAGAACTTAGGCTATTCGTCTTCCAAGGCTCAACTACTCACTGTGTTTGTACCCTCTCACTTTAATGTTCGAGATGAACTCGATTTGCTAACCCTGTTGGTAGTCCCATCTACATCACCGCGTCGATTCTTTCCGTCATCACAGCTTGGGTCAGTGACAAGAGGGGGATCAGATCGCCTTTCGTGTTTGGGGGACTATGTCTTACAGCCATTGGGTTTATCATCGCCATCTCCGCACCACCAAGTGTACCAGGACTAGTCTACGCGGGTGTTTTTATCGCCACTTGCGGTATCTACCCAGCATTGTAAGTCCCATTTTCCACTAGCAAATGTTAGAATTTAAACTAACCGCCGACAGCCCCGGAAATATCACTTGGCTATCAAACAATTTGTCCGGCTCCCTGAAACGATCTGCCGGAATGGCGATTCAGATCGCAGTTGGAAACCTTGGTGGCGCCATGGCGTCAAATTTCTACAGGAGCAATGACGCGCCTAGGTACACCCTGGGACATGCGTTGGAGCTTGGATTTATCGGGGCCGGTTTGATTGCTGTGGGCATCTTGTTCTTTGGATACAAGAGGATCAACGCCAAGCGGGAACGAATTGGTGATGATCATGGGCTGACCGTCCAGGAGATGGCTAGACTGGGAGACAAGTCACCCGGATTTAGATATGTGCTGTGAGCTGTACAATACCACCAGGCCTTCTTTTTGTTTTTTACATGGCCAGATTTTATTAGATGAACCAATGATTTATGAATATGCGATAATTTTTCAATGCCTCTTCGGAGAAATATTTAATCACAGCCTTCCCTGTCAAGTGATATCTCAAAGTACCCACCCCAATCTTTGGCGGGGGTTGGAAGCTCTCAAGCTAGTACGTACCTAAGCCCGGTTCAAAAACGGACCGGAGAATATTCGAATTCTCGACACGGGCCTTCTTTTGTATATTAAAACTTGATATATGAGATAATCTGGAAGGCTGCAATTTCTGCCCTTGTAACTAAGATCCTCAGCCTTATAATATGTACGCACACTCGTGGCGAAGATGGTGCGGCAAATATGCCGATTGGTGAGTGATCTCTGATGACTCAAACAATTCCGGTTCACAAGAACATCTAGATAGTAGTTGATCCTGCGACATTCAACCAGTATTCGTTCCCTATCGTATACTTTCCGAAGTCAAGATTCTCTCTCTGGAGGAAGTACCTACGGATGGTGGTCTGCGCAATTGCTGCATGTCTATGCACACGACACTAGCCTATCCAATGTTCGGCGAAAGAAGGGAATCTAGGCTGCTCCTTTGAATCCTTTCGTGTGTCCAGCTTACTATCTTCTGGCATACATGCCGTGGGTATATACTCCTAGAGTGGAGTAAATCTAGACTGTGGGGACAGCATCTGTAACAGTTCTCTGGGACCCCTACATCCGAAGTACATAGTGTACTCTAGCAATCCCTGCTATCATTCTCATTTCGACCAATTGATTACTCCTCGTTCCAAAAAACCATTTTTTAGACCGTGCATCATGACTATAGGCACATGATACTTACCTAATTCAGTTGGAGGGGAACGGGGGAGGTGGGGCGAGCTTCTTATCAAGTTTTGAAACTTGGGCTAGGTCGAGGCCTGCAAGCTGCAGATATAGCCGGGAAATAGAGTACATACCTGTATGCAGCATATATAATCTTTCGGACTTTCTGATATCGTGGATAACCAATCAATCGACCAGCAACGAGCAACCGTCAACCAGCTAAGGTACGTATACGAGGTGAGCTCGAACCCGGTTTTTGGAAAATGATAGCTGTCTAAAAAATCGCAAAAATCTCGTCAATAAACGGGTGCGTGCGGCCATTATTTCAAGAAAGATTAACGGCGCCCTGGGCATGTAGAAAGCAAATTTCGGAGGTCGTGAGAGTGGAAAACCTTGCTGGGTTCAGTACAGCAGTAATCGGGTGATGAAAACGAGCCCGAGAACGCTATTGTTGATGATGGCTTCTGATTTGTCCTCATCTGCGAATTAACGGAACTCTGCTGTCAAGGCACATGTCTTCGATTTAGGTTCTTCATGCGTACCCTAAGCATTTGCATAAACTTTTGACATAATGAAACCACCTGGTAGGTAGATAACTGGACCCGTGTATATAATCGCTTTCAACCCTAGTTAGCACGTTTCTTACTTTGTACAATCGCTATCGAGATCCGAGACGTTATCGAGATTCTCAAAACAGTTATCACTGGATAGAATCAGGGTGGGGCGTTGTTGGTTAGCTGACATGACATCTAGATGCATATGAGGAGAGCGGTGACAACAAATTAACTTTCGCTAACTAGGTAGTACTAGACAAGCGCCGCTATGGCCATGTGAAGCGCCTATCAGATATTCGGTGAGGGCCAGCACCACTATTGACAGGGATCTGGGTTAGTGTTTATTTGCACTTCAGTGATAAGTAAGCTACAAATTAAGCATCGACACAAATTCTCCGTTAAATATTATCCTAAATAAAATGATATCCGGTTCTTCAAGCTAGGGCCAATCATCATATCTAAATACATACTTCTCGATCTGATGTACAGCAATGTAGTTTTGCGGCAAAACATTACTATTCGAGCTCCTCTATATTGTTATAGTAGTTTAATTCTACTCACTTATACATAGCTATACCTATATGTAGCTGAGCTGTCGGATTGTGGCTTTTTTCAAGAACGTTCCTAGTCTGTAGTGTTAATCGTTAGGATTGGCTGGAGATAATCTAGACATATGCATTGGATACTAGGCTCGGGTTTTGGCAATCCCAACTCCCCGGTGAATGGAGCGATATATTTGATGGTGAGATGTGATAGAAAATGAGGCGGCCATCCGGCAGATATACTTACAAACATAGATGGTTTCGGCTGGGGTTGATTCTAGATCGTGTTGATGAAAAAAGTAATCGCTGTTTCATGATCATCTAGCTACATTTACCTATAGCTAGTCTTTGCTAAGATGTATGTGCATTATAAGGTATCACTCGCTGATCTAACTAGCCCATGTTCTGGAGATTTTTTGCTATGTTCGATCTAGATCTGTTGATGATAAATAAAACTACATGTAGAATGTATTATCGGAGGCCTAGGTATTGTTACATGTAGAAAGTAGTAATAACTTGAAACTGAATATATATTCGAATATACTAAAGTTGCTGTGTGCACACCCTTTCTGTATCCTACCAGAGGTATAGGAATTGAGTAGTATGTACGTACTGGTAGGACATTCAAAAAGGGAATGGAAATCCCTCTCTCAATAACTAACATTGTAGAGAACGATTGAGCCTACAAACTTCCCCGTGCGAAACCTCGCTGGCTGGCCAGTTCAGCTGTGAAGTCAAATGCAATCACAAAGTACTGCGTCTTAGGTTCTTCAGCTTGGCAATTTTCTATCCAGTTAATCAACGGCTAGTTGGGTTGATTCTTAATTGTTTAATGGCCGCCTAACACTCAGTCAATAAAAGGTTTGATATTGATAACTAGTACTGTATAAATTTACTCTTCATTTTGGTCGAGTGTAATTGGCACACGTCGTTGTGGCCAAGCTAGCTCGCCAGATTCCGGACCAAGCCAATGATTCCTCATGATTGCTCCGTTGTGCATGAACCAGTTACAGGGGCTCGGGGTTTTTCCCCCCATCTTGTTTTTTTTGGCTGGCCTATTATTGCTTTTTGGAATGTCTGCCTTAACTGCCGTGGTGCACTGGAGTGGGGGGTTACTGATTCTATATTCTCACTCGATCCTCAGAGTTGTATTGAATGACATGATGGGCTTTTGATTTGAACGAAACGAATGTTTATATAGTAATTCTTCATTAACTGAAAATAAGTCCCGGGGAGCGATGAGATCCCGGGCATTGCTTATTGCAATGGCGGTCGAAATGCGGTGCATCACACATGACCTGTATGCAATGTCGATGATGCATGATAATAATTCGATCACCCGTTACTCGAAAGAAATTTTCTTGCCTACATGCATGTACCTACATTATACATGGCCCGTGTGTTCCTGAGGTGACCATTTAACACTCAGTTTTTCCGTGATGAATTTCTTCCTTGGTATTTCGATTGCTTAAACGTACGCCACTCATCAACTTCTAGCGTATAATTTGGTTTGTTATCAATGTTATATTATGCTATGTGCCTATTTCCTATTGATGCGGATTTGAGGTGAACATCCGAGAAGTCTCACTGCAATAGTTGAAAACTTTGGTACTGAACGACACAGGTGCACCGACTATATCAAGAATAGAAACTTGATGTAGGTACTCAACTTTGACTCAGTCCTAAACCTACGTACAATGCAGGTGTATTCTATAGCTAGCTACTATGGAGCGCGATGGGCGGGGAATTCCGTTAGAATTTCCTTGCAGCTACCTAGTTAGATCTTCATACTCTCTCAGATACCTAGAGTTCTATGTACTTATGTGTGAACTGTTTGGGGCGCAGATCAATTGAGCTAGCTAGACGAGACCCAGTCCTATCAGTATTGCCTAGTACGCGTAAGATGAGGCAAGAATAGAGTATAGAGTACCGCGATTAGCGTGATATTTCGTGCATCTAACTACGAATATTTACATACCGCATCGTTGTTCAATAAGCACTCTGATGCAGTCAATAAAACCGTCCCGGTCTGCCCGCCCCAGGCACTACCCTAACCCTATAAGTGGTATGCTGTCAGGTAAACAAACTTTTTACAATGACACAATCAAGACTGAAGCAAAGTCATCTAGAAGACACATTAATTGGACAACGATACCCCCCACATTTTCGCCCCATCTTTGATTGACTTTATCATATTATATTCCATTATATACTATTCTATCTTATCCTATTCTATGAAGTGGAGCCCACTACAGGCCTTGATGATTCCAACGCTATTGCTTTGAACACGGTGCACTGCTCCCCGACTCCACGAGGATTGATATATGCCGAGTGGTACAAAAACTGAACAAGGAATATGAGGTTTATCTCGACGTTACACTCGGTAGAAACCAGTTTAGCAGAAGCAGCCAGATGCAAGGCTTTTGACCCTGTTATTGATTCAGAGCAGTGAGACTGGGTGATGAACACCATTTGCGGACATGGTACTGGTCGACATTCCAGAGTACCTACATCCAAAGGTGTCATTTCGATGCATGTCATAATGTCTATGGTAGTAGTAATAGTTAACAGGCAGGAAGTCCGAACCCCAAGATGGAAACCGGAACCCCCGCATGCTACCGGCAGTACTTTAAGGATCAACAGCTTATCCTTTGGATGTCCAGGTAGCTTATGACGGGGTGTAACTACCCCCCTCAAAACAAAACATAGTGGGTCCAGCACCAGGGATTGATTAATTGCTTGTTCAATCCGGGTAGACAAAACCTGCGGCTGTTGCTACCGGCACCGATAGTACCTAGCTAGTTCGATGATCGAGAATAGGATGGGCGACACTTTTTATGCTAAATTGAAGTCTCTGGATTATCAGACGTCAGATTTAGGCACTCTAAGATTTATTCACCATATACCCGCGTGAAACCTAGCGGATTATGACTTTGGATTATTGCTCCAGAGGTGACAGGCATCTTTGGTGAAGAAAGATCATTTCAAGACAAAAAAGAAACTCAACGTATTCAGCTCCGGTTCCTCAAAGAAATATCAGCTGACATGCGGATTT